TCTTTGCTGGGAAACTTTACAAAGATGGCTTTATTCTGCTGTCAGTCTCTCTCTCTCTCTCTCTCTCTCTCTTTCTCTCTCTAATTGTGTGTGTAGCAATATATTATTTACTTCTTTCAACTACTTTAGATTTTTTTTTTCTAAATGTTCTGCTTCCGTGCCTGATAATTGTCGCTTCTTCGATCTTTGTGTTTTGTAGTATTGTAACATTTTAGCAGCATTTCTGGTCTGAAAAATATCTGTTGGTTGATATATTCTAAGCTTGAGATATTTCAGTTTCAGGTGCTGCCTTGTGAGTATCTAAAACCGGGTGAGGCTGAATCATTAGTGCCGATTTGGGTGAAGGCACTTGTTTCTGCAGCATCGGACTATGTTGAGAGCAGACGATGTGGAGAATTAAGTAATCATGAGCATATGCGAGGGAAAGGGGGCAGAGTTCTAAAACGTCTGTTAAGAGAATTTGCGGACAACCATCGCAATTTTCCAAATTTGACATGATAAATTTAATAATACAATATAATATATTCACCCCCTAATTTATTGGAATTTTTAGCCTCTACATACAATTGATGAGCCATCAGTTCTGACTTGTCATTAGTTAGTCAGACAGTTTATTAGCCATTGGTTTATTCTGTAAATTCATCATTTAATGTAATTAGGGTGGAAAAAGAAGAGGAATAATGGAGGGATGCAAAATGGTGTGGATTAATGCTGCAGAAAAAATCGAGATAGTCAAGTGAGAAGAAAAGATGAAGCAAACATGCATGTGCCCTCGAACAGGACAGATAGGCAACAGGTCATGTTTGTTCTGTCCTGTTAAAAGATGTGGGTTGTCAGTTGTCATTCAGCTCTTGAGTCACTTTCTCTATCTCATAATACGGAAGATTAAAGAATATAATCTTATGTTAACGGAATATTCATGTTGATAAGCAGATGTGCTCTTCAATCTATCACTTGTTTGGCAATTCTTTTGCCAATCATTGAAATATCAGCCGAGGAATGTGGGTCGTAATGATTGATAATAATGATGTAATTCTGATTCCTGAGTAGGTGTGTATTCACAAAAATAAATAGAATATGGTTACTTGTTATGTACGTTTACCTTAACACAGATATTATAATGGTTAAGATTAACCTAAAAATAAAAGATGGAGCAAGTGCTATTTAAAATAATATCTGTATATATATTTGTACTTGCAATTTTATTTCAGTCAAATATAGGATATCCAAATTAATTCACAATACAGTGGTCGGGTTGCCGACGGATCCGGAGTGCGGTCTTTTTTGCCTAAACGGCCCAAAATTAGATTTCATGTTATCCTGTCATCAAGATGGGCGACTAGATGATGCCCAACAAGAATCCAATGATTTGATGTGTGAATCCCTAAAAATATAAAATACAAAAGAGTAGGGATCATTATTGTGTCGTCGTTTGAACAGCTTGTCTTGTCTGTGTAGTGTGTAATCAAAAGGGGTGTGATTGCCATAAATGTATTTCTGACATTTTTTTTTTAGTTTATTGCCGCTTCAATTGATTGATTGATAATAAGAAAATCATTAGTATAAGATATGAGGTGAGCAGGAGCAACGTCAACGTAGCTGTCTGGCTCAACCTTGAAAAACTTGTATCTGGCTGGCTCATGGCAAAAATTCCAGTTGCTATGTATGGCGGTCGTCTTTGTCTCCTAGGCTATGCAATTGCAACTACTGCCCAAATCCTGCTGTTAAAGGGAATAAATAAACAAACACTCACCCACACAGATATGATATATGCCGAGTAGACATGGCCAG